GAAGCAGACTCCCCGCTGAGCAGGGAGCTCAATGCGGGGCTCGATCCCAGGACCCTGAGATCATGACCTGAGCCAAAGGCAGATGCTTAACCGTCTGAGCCACCCAGGTGCCCGACAAGCTTTATTTAATGGATGTATTAATAACCTGAATCCAGTTTATTTATTTATTTTTTATGTAACTTCTACACCCTGCCTAGGGCTCAAACTCAGGACCGGGAGATCAAGAGTGGCACGCTCCACAGGCTCAGCCAGCCAGGCGACCCATGAACCTGATTTAAAAGAGAATTTTTTTTCTCAAGCACATAGAGGCATTTACAAAAATTGCCTATGTACTAGGCCATAAAACAAGTCTCAAAAACATTCAAAGAATTGGGATCATACAGGGGCAGCTCAGTCAGTAGGGCATGCGACTCTTGATCTCAGGTCATGAGTTTGAGCGCCACGTTGAGTGTAAAGACTACTTAAAAATAAAATCTTTAAAAAACAACAACAAAAAAATGGAGACAAAGTATGGGATCATACAGACCACAACTGAGTTAGAAGTCAATACAGGAAAGTTTCTTAAAAATCGGAATAAAAAGCACACTTCTAAATAAGTGAGTTCAAAGGAAAACTCGTAGTGGAAATGAGAAAATACAGAAGGGGCCAATATGGAGACCAAACATGAACAGCAATACCCCAGCCTCTACCTCTACAGGAGGTGTGGTAGAGCAGTACCTCGGGAAGACGGATATCCTGAAGAAGAGGAACAGACGAAAACTAATGGGCTAAGAATCCCATCTACAAAGTCACGAGGAAGAAACAACTACATAGATTCGAAGGAAACAGAAGGAGAATAAAGATGAAAGCTGCCAGCGAATGCAATGGAAAACAATCATACCATAGAGGGCTGTCCCGAAGCCTAGTCTGTTCTTGGTAAAAGCTAATAAAATAGAAAAAATGGTGCAAGATGGATCAAGTACGAGGAAGATGGGTCTGAACAATAGTGGGGACGAGAAAAGGACAACTGTGGATACAAGAGAGATTTTAAAACAAAATAGAAATAAAAATATGTGAAAAATGTTAGACAATTTTGAAAACTTAGAGACAACATGAACAATTTCCTAAAAAAATACATAATGTAACAAAAGTGGGAAATAGAAGATTGAATAGATTACGAACCACCAGAAGAAGTGAAATCAGTAGTTAAAAATAAGCCACACAAATGTACACATACTGTAGGAGCTGGGCTCCAAAGTGGCCCCCACGCAGTTCTTGTTCCTGGGATCCCCGCTCCTGGGACAGGTGTTTCCTGCTCCAAATAGGGCGGACCCACGTAAACCAGGAGGGTGCTGTGCAGAGGAGGAACTGTGACTTCCCAAGCTAAACTAAAAAAGACATTGTGACTTCTGTCCTGATAGCTCTCTCTTGAGGGAAGAGGGATGCCCTGGGGGATACCAGGTCTCGAGACACGCAAGCAGCTCGATGAAGAGGGCCATGTGGCAAAGATCCTGCCATCGGCCAGCAAAGGACTGCCAACCACGTGAGAAGCAGACCCTCCAGCCCCTGTCAAGATGACTATAGTCCCAGCCAACCTTCAGTGATAACCCATGAGAGATCCAGAGTCACAACCACCCAATTCAGCTGCTCCCAGATTTCTGACCCTCAGGAACTGTGAGAAAATAAATTGAAGCCTCTGAGGTTTGGGGTATTTTTAATGCGGTGATGATAACTGGTACACACACAATAAAATCAGGCAAAGGAGTTCTGGAATACATTCAAGGAAAATGTAATCGTATTCTTTACAAACTGTTCCCAGAGAGACTGTCCCCACGCACTTTATGAGGCTGTGTGATTTGGATTATACTGTCAAAATTAGTCAAAGATATTATTTTTAAATTTTTTTCAAAGGAATCTCATTAATGAACAGATAATAAAAGTTCTAAACAAAACATTAGCAAACTGAATCCAACATGTATTTTTTAAATGTGTGATTAGGCTTGGGTTTACTTGATAGGATTGCAAGAATTAATTTATTTTTCAAAATCTATAAATTTTATTCACCACTTTAACACATTGGAGGAGAAAAACCCTACGAGCATCTGAATAGATGAAAAAAATAAAATTCAACACCTACTCACGATTAAAAAAATGCTTAGTAAACTAGAGCTAGAAAGGTCATATTTATTGATGACGCATTTGAGGTGTTCCATTTGTGATCAGGATGCTTTTAAGGATGCTCACCATGACCATTGCTATTCAACATTGTATTGGAGGTTTTAGCCAATGCTGGTTAGATTTTTTTTAAATAGTAAGATAAGTAAATAAAAGGTGTAACGTTTTAATAGGAAGAAGCAAATTATTGAAATTATTGTTGGATGGAAGATAATTACATAAAGATAGATCACATTTCTATATACTGGTAATAAACCATGAGAAAATGTAATTTTTAAAAAAGATAACATCTACAACAGCCACAATTCAAAAAGGGGGGGAGGAGAGCTAGAAATAAACCTAACAAAATCTGTGCAAAAAAAATTTTTTTTTTAATTTTATTTATTTGACAGAGAGAGAGCACAAAAGCAGGGGGAGTGGCAGGCAGAGACAGAGGGAGAAGCAGGCTTCCCGCTGAGCAGGGAGCCCAGTGCGGTGCTGGATGCCAGGACCCTGAGATCATGACCTGAGCCCAAGGCAGATGTTTAACCGACTGAGCCACCCAGGTGTCCCCTGTGCAATATTCTTATGCAAAAAATTCTGATACCTCATGGAAAGATTAGAAAAGACCTAAATAAATAGAAAGATGAACCATGTTTACAGACAATTGCACTAGGTATTGTAAAGGATGCAAATTTTCTCCCAGAGTGGTTTACAAATTCACTGCAATTCCTATCAGAATTCCAGCAGGTTTCTCCATGGAGCTGGCCATGCTAATCTTAACATGTGTATGGAATTGCAAAGGGTCCAGAATGGATGAGACTTTTTCTGAGGAAGAACAAGGTGGAGTGGTGACCCTGTACCAAGAATTATGAAAGCTACAGTAATGAAGACAGTGAGTATAAGACGCAACAGGCCAGTGGTTTAAGCTACAGAACCCAGAGGCCAACCCGTGCACATGGGGAAATTTGACAAATGACAGAGGGAGCTTTGCAGACCGGGGTGCGGAAAGAATGGGCTAGGTAACAATCAGTCTGGAACAAAGGTGTGCACTTTTGGAAAACATATAGTTGGTTCCCTACATCACACCATATAAAATAACAAATTCCATGTGGGCTAAAGCCCTAAATGTGAAAAATAAAATTTCACAACTTTTTGAAGAAAATATAGGAGACTTCTTTCATGACTTGAGAGTAGGAAGAATTTTTTTTTTTTTTTACGATTTTATTTATTTGAGAGCGTGCACAAGTAAGGCAGTGGAAGGAGCAGAGGGAGAGGGACAGAGAATCTGAAACAGACTCCGCACTGAGCCTGGAACCTGACCCTGGGCTCGATCTCACGACCCTGAGACCATGACCTGAGCCAAAATCCAGGGTGGGACACTTAACCAAGTGAGCCACCCAGGTGCCCCGAGTAGGAAGAATTTCTTAAATGAAATTTTTTTTAAAGCACAAGCCATAAAGTCTTATTGCTAAATTTGACCAGATTAAAATTAAAGCTGCTGTTCCACACAAGACAGCATAAATAAAATGAAATAAGCCACAAACTGAAAAAGGACAGTTCCAAAGAATACAATTTACAGAGGATTAGTGCCCAGGGTATGTAAAGAATTCCTACAAATCAGGGGTGCCTGGGTGGCTCAGTCATTAAGCATCTGCTTTCGGCTTGGGTCTTCATCCCAGAGTCCTGGGATCGAGCCCAGCATCGGGCTCCCTGCTCAGCGGGAGGCCTGCTTCTCCCTCTCCCACTCCCCCTGCTTGTGTTCCCGCTCTCACTGTGTGTCTGTCAAATAAATAAATAAAATCTTTACAAAAAAAAAAAAAGAATTCCTACAAATCAATAATAATAAAAAAAAGAAAATGCTCTGTTATAAATAGGCCCATGTATATACACAGATAATTTTCAAAAGAAGGAATCTAAAATTTAATTATAGGTTTAAACATTTAAAAATAAGTCCAATAAACATGTAAACATTTAAAAATAAGTTCAACTTCACTAGTTATCAGGGAAATGTAAGATAAAACAACAAGATACCATTTCTTACCTATCAGATTGACAAAAAATTCAAAATTATAATACTATCAAGAGTTGAGAAGGATGTGAAGTAATGGGGAATAAAAAGAATGGGAATACGCATCCTTCAATGAGAGAACAGATAAGTTGTGGAAAATTCATCCAATAGAATATTATGCAGCTATTAAAATGAATGAACTAGAGCTGAATGCTTCATATGGATAGATCTCAAAAACATGTGAGGGGTGCCTGGCTGGCCCAGTCAGAAGAGCATGAGGCTCTTGATCTCGCGGTCGTGAGTTCGAGTCCCACATTGGGTCTAGAGATTAAGTAAATAAACTTAAAAAAAAAAAAAAGTGAGCCCAGGGGAGAAGTTTGAAGAATGCTACATGGAGAGTCCCATCATTTATAGACAACTTAAAAACTGGCAAAGCATTATTTCAGCTTGTTCAGGGTTGTAGACTTGTGTAGTTAAGAGTCTAAAAGCACCACTAGGAATGTGAAACACCACAGTTATTAAGTAGTTCACAATCAAAATAATAGCCAGCTTCATTGAGTCCCCTATGCACCAGCCGCCGACTTCACTACTTGGCTTGGGTTATCTCATTTCATCCTCGCAACAACAGTATGCACCACCATCCTCCTCGCTCTCCTGGTGAGGAAACAGGCTTTGAGAGCTGCTCAGTAGCTTGCCCAAGAACACAATGGTTAGCACTAGAGTCCACATTCCATCAAAAAGTCTGGGTTTTGTTCCATCAAAAATGTGGAGCAGTGGAAATAAAGAAGACAAGGTAGGGCCAAGGAGCCTACAGTGCAGGGGGCATATATCAACACACACATACACACACCCCGCCCCCCAAGTGAAGGGTGAGCCAACCACACGGCAGTGAGGAGGGTGCTTAGTGCGCGGTAGCCTGAGAGGGGAGTACACAGCAGGGAACCCTCGAGGCTGCCTGGGCCGTCAGGGAAGGCTTTACCAGTTGAACTGGGCTTGGAAGAAGTCCACGTACAAATGCCAGGAACCCAGGTCTTCCTACTCTGCATCCGACTGGCGTTGTTCAGAGGACCCCCTGCTCTGGACCGTGAGCACACGAGGCCCCACCATGCAGGGCTGGGACCAACCCCGCTGAAGACAAGCTGATTTCATGTAATCTCCCGTTTGAGAAGAAAGTCTGCTCTCACCTTTACATGCACAGAGGAAAAGCCGACTCAAAGCTCTTCTTTTGCAATCATGACAGCAGGACTAATTGCTTGCTCTTTAATAATAAGAGGTAACATTTATTGAGCATTGACTGTCTGCAGGGCGAAGTCAGCACATGATTTATTGCCCTTAACTCTCACAAAAGCTCTGTGAGAGCAGGTACTATGTGTCCCTTTCCAGGAATGAGGACACCAAGGCTTAAAGAATTTAGGGGTCTCAGGGCGCCTGGGTGGCTCAGTTGGTTAGGCGACTGCCTTCGGCTCAGGTCATGATCCTGGAGTCCCTGGATCGAGTCCCGCATCGGGCTTCCTGCTC